GATTGAGTGAGGTGAACCACAAATTTTGTACTATTAAACTCACCACCTCCATCACACTGAAATGATCCAATCTTTGCATTTTATTGATTTTCAATCAGTTTCTGAAATGCTATAAATACATAATAGAAATCTGAATTTAGCTTCAATAGATAAAACCAACAAAACCGAGACCAATGATCAATAAAGATTACATAATATCAAAATCTTTGGACTGACAATACTGGAGAATGACCAAAGATCACAATGAATTCTTTAGAGAGGTTTAGTGCATGTCTACATAATCAGAAGCAAAGAAAGAAAGCCTAGTACTATTGCAAAGTCGACATGACTCACACATCACACTAATTTTTTTATTGATAAAGATAGAGTTTGGATGACCAAGTCTTCGATGCCATACTGCTTCACTTGTTGACTGCTGTCTTGAAGAATAAAATGCATGCGGTAAAGAGCTAGATTCATCTTTCAAGACATATAGACCTTCACTATTTTTGCCCAATATTATTAGCCTCTTGGTGACCTTGTCCTTAACAACAACCCCATCTCAGTCAAACTCAAATGAACAAGGGTAAGCCTTTGTAACCTTAGACACATAAAGCAATGATTTTGCAACATCAGGACAAACCAAGAAGAGGCAATAACAGTTAAGCCGGTGTAAGTGATTGGCAAAAAGTTTCCATCTGCAACCATTACAGCATCAAAACCAGTATAGGGACGAATATCCTGACGATGCTGAGTGGATTTGGTGATATGAGCACTTTTGCCTGTGTCTGGAAACCATTCATGATTCTGATTGTCTGAAGCATCTGTAATGCAAAATGCAGCCATTGCAGAGGGAGTTCCATCTAGCTGGTAAGAGTTATCAAACCTGTGCCAACAATTGAGAGCAGCATGACCGCGACGATCACATATCTGACAAGTTGTCTGCAATGTCATTAGATCCGTTGTAGGAGGAGATCTGTTGATAGAAATCTCGTGTTGAAAAGGATCCACAGCCATGTCCTCCACGCGAGCCTATGCCATTCTGACCTCGACCACCTCAGTAAGAGTAAGATCCCTGAGAGAATTGCTGGATGTTGAAGGCAAGATGTGGAGTGACCTCAGAAGAAGTGAGATAGCTTTGCCAATGGCCATCAAAGGCAATGAGACAGTGAGAGACATCTTTAAAAGTGGGAAGAGGGTCACAATCCATAGAACCCTCGAAACTGGTTGTAATTGCTTCATAGTCACGCCCTAGACTATGTAAAGCAGCAAAAATCCTCATCTTGTCAGTAACTGGACTTCTAATCAAGGAGAGCTGGTCAAAGATGTTCCTGATTTCCTTGAGATACTCTGACATCATCTTTCCAAGCTTCGATGCAGTTTGTAGCTTACATTGAAGTTCAAAGAGACATGAGGATGAGACACAGTATTAGTGACTAGCTAGAGCAAGCCAAACTTCAGATGTAGTGGTACAATTTATACCACAATGCTCAAATTGTCTTCAGAGAAGGAGCCATAAATTTGAACTATATGGTCATACTAAAACCAGCAAGCATAAGCAGAATTTGGAGCAGTTACAGATGTGTTGTTGGCTCCAGTGGTGGTGATAGTCCGGTGGTTTTGCGACTATGCCATGGACAAAACCAAGAAGACCTTGACCAAAAAGAAAGCTTTCAATTTGAGACTTCCACAGGATGTAGTTGTGGTCTGTGAGACTGACAGTAACACAGGTTGTGATACTGAGAGAAGAAAGAGGAAGATCCATGTAGAACTGCACAGAACCTTGGTGCTCTGATACCGTGAAGAGATTTTGATTTTAGAGTATTTTAAAGCTGAAATTCATTTTTTTTTCATTGCTCAAAGGTTTGTTACAATGAGAGTCTAGTATTTATACACAAACACATTCTAGAACACTCTAAACCCTAATGCCAGATGTCAAGCATCGCATAACATTGCTAAAGCATCAAAACAATTTTGAATCTCTGTTGTATGAACCCTCGCCAGCTTGCTTCCAGATTCCTCTGAATCAGTTCTGTTTTTGTTTTTATGCAGAAACAGAGATGACTGTTGTGAGTTATTGTGTTCATGTGGTTTCTCTTTTTGTTTAGGTTTCAATGTCATCTGGCCCATCTGCTTTCTGTTCTCAATTAATGAGCCTTCTGCGACATTGTTTTGAGCTATCATTTGAGATGAACTCTATTTTGGAGGGAGAGTGTTTTATATATATTTATTTTATAGATGGATATATAGTTATCGTTTTTGCAATTAACACTTGTTAAAGAATTAGTAGATGGATTTGTTCTATAATTTTTGTGGGATTTATCCGTAATAGTAGGATATTAGGTTAAGAGAATGTTTGTTTATGTAGACAGCTGACTCGTTCTCTTGAATTTGGATATATACAGAGTTCAAAAATCTTACTATTATTCTCTTCTTTTTTTTGTATGGTTTTGACATTTTTTTCAAAATAATGTATTTATTCAATAAATCCTATACTGGTAGATTGGGCATGAGATATAAAAAAGCAAAAAACCAGAGAAAGAAAAATTTAATGAAAAAAATGGTAAAATAAAAAAAGGTGGCTAATTAGAGTTCTAAGATGATATTGTCCTGTTTTTAATTATTATCTGAATCTAATGGTTAATCACTTGATTGACCCAATGAAAAACACGTGAAATCTGGGGTTGATAAATGCAATTATTGACCCAATAGATGTTGAAATTATTCTAGGAATCCCTATTAGTAGGTCCTATAGTGCAGATTCTATTGGATGACACTTTACCAAGTGTAGTAGATATACGGTTAAATCATGATATCAGACGGAGGAATAATTCCCAGATAGTTTCCCAGAGGTGTTTTATGGTCTAGATATAAAGGCATTACAAACACATACATAGAAACTAGAATGTCCTCTAAAGTTAAGAAAGTTTATTTGGCAAATAGTCTCTGGTTGTTTACTGGTGCGTGTCAGCTAGGATACAAACATGAGGTATACAATGTGACACACAATGTGCATGATGTGGAGCAAAAGAAGAAACAATTAATCATGTACTTTCAAGTGTTTCCCTGCATTAGAAACTTGGGCTTTATTTCAGATACCAACACCTCTTGGTGTTTTTTCCGATGACATTGATTTTCGGTAACTTTGATCATCTTTTTTGAAAATTATCTAAAGAAACTAAAATCAAACAATTTCTATGGATTTCATGATATATCTGGAAAGCGAAGAATGAAAAGGTATTCTCTAACATGGATGTAGACCCATAGGTTACACTGAAAATAGCAGAATCAGAAGTGATTTTATCGGAGGAGGCCCAAAGATCGAAAATGGGTTTAGGCCTACAAAACGGATTCATTGGTTCGGGATCGGTACACAGTACACATGGTGGCTGGTGGTGTTATATTGATGCTTCTCGGAAAGAAACAGATTTGACAGCAGTTTAGGATGGTACTATTTCAAAGAAGGTTCGACGGATAAGATAGTAGGAGCATACAATATGCGGTGGAGTCTCACGCCTCTACATGCGGAGATGGAAGCTTTAATCTGGGTTATGCTCTGTATGTTGGAAAATCAGAAGACAGAAGTAATTTTTACAACAAACTGTTCAGACCTGATGAAGATGGTGTCTGCACCTGACGAATGGTCCGCATTTGCTATTCACATGGAGAAGTTTATGAAGAGTAAGGAGAGATTTTGATTTTTCACTTTCACAAATCTTACGGGCGAAAAACACGAAAACTGACACACTAGCAAAGAGTGTTCGTATCCACCCTCTAAATGTTATGTATGTAAACTTGATACTACTGATTTGGTATATCGGACCAATCTAGATATTTAAGCTGTCAATAAAAAAACACATTACAGCTCAATTGATTGGAATAACAGGTTCCCGCCGCCATCATGTTAATTCTTAAGGTTATCCTTGAATAACATGAACATCGAAATGCTAACTAAATATAGATAATTTATTAAACAAAAAGTATGTTCTATAGTCGTGTATTATATTGAAACATAAGAAAAAAAAAAGAGAAAAAAAATGTGAAAGACAAGAAAAAAATATTACTCCCTCCGTTTCACAAAGAATGTCGTTTTAAGGTTTTATTTTTGTTTCACAAAGAGTGTCGTTTTATATTTTCAATACAAAATTTTAAACAATATTTCAGTTTTAACCCTATTAATTTAATGTATTTACTAGATAAAAACAAATCATTTAATGTATTAATAAGAAACAAAGTTGTACTTTTAATAATTTTTTTAATATATGTGAAAAATGTAAGAATGACACTCTTTGTGAAACGGAAGGAATATTGTTCATTAAATTTTCAAATGAATGTAAGAAAAAGAATGATAAACAATGTCTAGGATGAAGTTACTAATGTAGACTCACAACTTATTACCAACTTGAACACAATTTAGATAGTAGTTTCTCTCTAAACTTTTTCATCAGCCTTATTTATTATATTTATAATATTTGCTTTCCTCAATTTTATAATGTAAAACTTAACAAAAAATAAAATTTAAAAATAACACACCTTTCTCCTCCACCTCGGCTCGTCCGTCTTTTTAAACGGCCACCGACTGTTTAAATTCCGACAAATGTCCTCTTTTAGAGAGAATAAATGCTTCCAATTATTTTTAGTTTAAGTATTTGAAAAACCACTCAGACAGTGAGTTTTTAATTCATTTATTTCGTACAAATTAGATTAAATCTGGGCCCCATGTAAAACCATCGACAAGAAGGTTTATATATCTTATAATTGGCTAGTAGTTTCAAAGCTAGTTCTGTAAATTATTTAAAGAAAAGAAAAAGAGAGAGAAAGATAATGATAAAATCTGTATTTTTTTCGGTAATACCAAAATAAGATGATTTCTGATCAAATTCGATTCTTTTGGATTGAAAGTGTTCAAGAGTAACAAGGCTACAAAATTTAGATAATTTGGGTGTTTAATTGCACACTGCACATAATTTTTTGTTATTACGTTCTGCTCAAAACTAATCAACAGAAAAAACGTACACAACAAAATAAATGAAATTTGATACCCAAAAAATTTGAGTTAGAGTGTAGGTTTTGCATTACACCAAACAAAAAACATAGCTAAAAAGAAATTTTTTAAATCCAATAAAAATAAAAATGGGACAATGCTATACTATTTGGTTACTCAGTATGTTTAGCAGGTCCCACGTAAATTGCGTAGCTCACGGATATGAGAATGAGCAAACACCCAACAAGGCGGCTAAACAAACCCGTCGATCCTGCTTTTCTTGTAGCAAGTATATACAACTGCGATAACACCACCTAAAATAAATAAAAACACAGCTCAATACTAAGCCTTTATGGTTCATACCGCTATGTTCTGTTGCGATTTTAACCGAAAACCAAATCGAAACCAGATTCGAGATTTCTATCCTAAACCATCAAACGGTCTTTATTAAGGAATTGGAAGCCTACCTCGATGTATAATATGTTTGCTGCTTTGCTGATTTTCTCAAGCTGAAGTCCCCGAGCCAAAAGTACCTTAAAACAGTATAAACCATACTCAACAGTCTAATTTCCATACGAGTTGCCTAAAAAAATCAAAACTATGCAGAAGCACTGTTCATAAATGCCTCACCTCTGCGCAAAACGCCAGCAAACCTAGTACGATCATGCTAATGAGCGTGTCAAACGCTGGGAGCACAAAGCTCTGAATGTGAAAATTCGAGGTTATGGATCATGACAGAGTATGTGTAATACCGACACTATTTGTAATTATACAAAACGTACCTCTAAGGAAAACATGCAAATCGCTGCAGCGGGGCAAGCTACCAAACCAAAGGAGAGGACAGTAATCCTGAGAAAATGCACGTTGTTTTATCGATTTCTTCCTAAGTATAGAATTTTCGCTAAAGAAGGAAGCAAAACATGTGGGTTGTTGATACATCTGAATCTTAAATCTTACACTGGCTGTTCCGATGCTTTAGCAGCTGCTTTTATGAGACAGTAGCTAATTCCTCCAGTGAATGATGAAAATAAACCTAACAAGATTGTATAAATATGATGGTTTCCTTTAAGATTATGATTCCTTACTTCTGATCCAACTGACAAGAGAAGATACTTAAATAAACATGACATCTTTGTTTCTTCATGCATAAAGGATATTCAGGCAGTTTTAGGAAAAGAGTAAATAGAGAACTATTTTGTTAACTCACTTCTGTACCTTGGACAGTAAGTGTTGGGACGAAAATAAAAATCACGCCAAAGAAACTGCAAACAAGAGCTGGACCAATGCAAAAAAAAAAAAACAATTGTGAAAGGACTTGCTTCGTTGTTAGTTCACAATACATATCAGGAGCTAAAGCTCAAGGGAAATAGCTATGTACCTCCAATATCAGTTATTTTCAACTTCTCATGCAGAACAACACGTGCTGCAATGGAAGCCATAACTGGATTCACAAAGCTTAGCACGATAGCTTGGGACAAGGGCAACATTTGGATGCTGTGTTACACAATATCAATACCAGTGAAAAAAAAGGGTTACAAGTCTCATTTTGCTACAAGTAACAAATTGATTAATAAATAATGGAGTCTGTTGCTGATTGAAATGTCATTAGATAATGATATATTGGTTTTAAAATGAATGTAACAGTGTGAGTGTAATTACCTAAAGATGAAACTAAACAATGAAAGATAACCGACAAGGGCTCTTGAAACTAAAAGCTTCCTGCCGTCACAGGTCCAAAAATTGGTTGTCCGCTTCTTTTCAACCAAAGGTAAGATAGTATCAAGATAATTGCGCATCTCATAAACGCGGTCTCAAACAAAGGAATCGGCTGAACTGTCATAAACAAAGGAAATTAGTAAGAAAATCTCTCAATATACACAAGGAAAACAAACTTGAAAACGCTAAAACGCTAAACAAAGACGCGGATTAAAAAAAGTAAGCTTGCACTCAGTCTATCCATTTCAACTACAAGAGACAAGTTATTAAACAGGTCCACCATTTCAGAAAGCTAAAAATCCAAAGCTAAAAAGGACAGATGCAGAAATAATTTCAACATTTGAAAAGAAGTGATCACTTTTACAGTCTTCCGTGAAAAAGAAAAGCAACCAATCATCTTACACAAAAACAGCATGAAAACTGAGCACAGAGATGAAATCACTGACCAGAAAAAGAATCTGAAACTAACTCCATGATGAGGTACAGTGTCGAAGACAATGCCATACAGAGTAAGCCAGAGTAACGAGAACCACTTCAAACCCATGAAGATAACTGAGTTAAAGGTGATATCTCCGTTTCAGATACTTTAAATACTTGCTCCTGCACAATCCGAGGAAAAAATCATTACTAAATTCTGATCTCAGTTCTTATCAATAACCTAATCGAATCAATTTACATTTCAACTGAATCATACTCTGCGAAGTATCAAATCGATGAAAGCAACAGCGACTCAAAGCTTAGGGGTCCGTGTTATTCACTTACCCTGGGTTTGCGTCGAGTGTAGGAGGCGGAGAAGATGTTGAACCTGGGTCTTTGGTTCTGCTGATTCAGGAGAGGGATGATTTCGTCGGAAGCTAATGAAGGGCCGGAGGCGGATTTCTCCATGTCCGGAGAATCGGGATCTCGGGCGGTGAGCTCAAGCGCAAGGTGTTGGTGGTGGTCGTCATCAGCGGTTTTAGTCTCCGTTGCGGAAGAAGCCATCGCGCTGCGAAAACCGCATGACGAAAGAGTCGGAAATATAGTGATTTTTTGACGTTTGCCGTTAGAAGTCGACGTTAACGGCGATGATTCTTTCTAAGGAAAATTACTCAAACTAACATTTAAGGTGACATTACTTAACCTAACATATTTTGAGTATACTAATTTTACAAAGTTGGTCTAGTACCATTTTAATATTATTATAAAAATACCATTTTGATTTATTATTTTTTAAAAAAAATTGATTTTTTATTATTGTTAAATTGTTATATTTTTTTTTTGAAAAAATATATTTATTAAAAAATATATTTTTTTAGGTGCAAAAAGTAGATACAAAAAAACAAATATAATTATCTCTCTCATCTTCTCTCTCGCTTCTCTCTCGTTTCTTTCTAACCCAGATCTGATTTTTTTGCCCTTTTCTTGATTTCTGTCGGTTTTCCGTCAGGTGATCTCTTCTTTCCCCGCCTTGGTCGATTACACGATGTTGTCTGATGGTTATATAGTATTTTCTACTTTCCTTTTAGTGGCATTTCTGTTCCTATCTTCAACATAGCTCTTCTCTCCATGTCTTGTTGCTCTCTTCTTTTCTCTGGTTTTTACAATTTT